AACTAGTTAAACTCCTTCTGATTTTACAGATGTTAACATGTTAAATATTGAAAACAGAGTTAAACAACTGAGACTTAATCATATGCATAAGATTTTTTATAATACGTGTCCAACTTATATGAAAACAAATTTTGTTCGGATGTCTGATATACACAACTACAACACTAGATCAAATAAGTTTAATTTTTCAATTCCTCTTTGTAACAAGACATGTAATAGCACCTTTTTCTATAATGGTATTAAAGATTGGAATAGTTTGCCAGATAATGTAAAATGTATATCAAATCCAACTTTATATAAAAATTCTGTTAAAAGCCATCTTGCTTCAATATGGGCTGCGCAACATCAAAGTGACTATTTATATTACTAATTAAGTGGCGACATAGGTTCGCCAAACTTTATTGTTTTTTAGTTATCTTATTTTTTCCTGTGCCTTTCTTTCTGTGATAATGCAAAACTACTGTGATTGAATAATTTGAAGGTTATCTCATTGTCTATTTTTATTTGAGGAATGAATGTCTCTCTGGTTTTATCTTGTTTCCATCTATTTGGTTAACAGGACCCCATTGGAAATAAGCACACCAGCTTAATGGGCTATCCTTGTAACTATAGATCACTATTTAACAAAACCTTTGTATTGAAATTTTATTGAAATTCTTTTACTTCTTTTATATCATATTTATCAGTAACTTTAAACAATATTCTGTGATAATTATAATTCTGACTATTGTAGTCTTAACCTGAAATGTGATTTTATTAATTTATTCATTTGCTTCTTTTTTTAAATACATTTATCCAATGCCTCATCTGATCTCAGTCATTAACTAAATTTGTTTTATTTATTATTAATATGAAATGATATTTTAATTTGGATAAACTGTTATTTTATATATATCTATTTATATATATATCTTATTATGTAACTGTGATCTATGTTGTTGCTAAAATAAAATAAATAAATAAAAAAAAAAAAATATATGTGTATAGTAAAAACTTTAAAAAAATCTTCTTTTAAAAAGCCCAATGAGCTAGAGCTTAGATGTTTAGCCTTCTTATGGGTTTCTACCAAGTTTGCGCAAATAAAAGCCCTTGGGTTAAATTGGCCCTGCAACGTTTGGGGGGGGGGGGGTTGGTGGGGCCTATATACAGGTGAGCGACCTCAGGGCCATCATGGCCCTCTTGTTATATTTTTTTTATTTACAAGAGGCCAGAGCACATCGTTTTTATTTTAATTCAAATGTCACTTAAGCACTACAGTGTTTAGTTGTCCTTTTCAATTTCACACTAAATTCCATTTTCAACTTGATTGCTTCTTACAATTGTATAGAATTTCTAAAAGTATTTTATGTAATCCGCTGGTTTATTACATCCCTAATCGCCTGTCCAAAAATCAGCACAGGTGGTGCAGAATCTATTTTTAGAATAGCGAAGGTTAACTCATATCGTGACCTAGAAATTATGTAAACAAACCACAAGAATCGAAAGTAGAACTGATATTATAACTTCCTTCAATAAAGATTACCATGAAAGACTACATGGTGGTAAAGTGTTGAAAAACTCTCTTGTTACATGCATTTTCAAAAATAGATATTTATACTAACCATTGTTCTGTATCTAATTTATTAATAACTGCTGAATATTCAGCTAAACCCGCCGTATGAGTCACGAAAATAGTTCTTCTTTTATTAATACGCGAGTTATTCTAGAGTCACAAAAAACTTTTGATTTGTTAATAATAATGTTTTGTATAATGTAGAATTATTTATTTCCTACTAATAATTTCTTGGAACTCAGAGCTTACACCTTTATTATAGTATAATTTGCTGTCCTACTTTTTCAACAGCGGTAAATCGTTTCGGCAGTAATTTGCATATTGCGCAATAATACCACGGGACTACAACGTTTTTCTCAATCATATACGTTCATATTTTAACTTGGATAACTTAATTTGAAATTGAAAAGGATAAATATTGAAGATATTAAGATATCCCGACAAAGTATGGGAGTTTTAAAGGATCAAATTCATGTACTATTTCTTGGGCTGTTAATCGGTTGAGGACACGACGACGACGGTTGTAGCCGACGAAATCCCAAGTGTAGATGACTTAGCTCTGAATGCGCCTGAGGGCGCGTCCGTCGCAAAAATGATATTAAACTAGTGTTATAACACTTTGACGTGATATCATTTGCGCTATATAGAAACATAGCGTTAAAGCGCGCTAATGTTAGCGTTACACTATACGCGCTATTCAAAAATTACTTTTTAACAGTTTACCATTCTTATTTTTATGCCACCGCAGCATCTGCGGCATAAGATGCTGCGGTGGCATATAGCGATTCACCTGTGTGTGTGTGTGTGTTTGTTTGTGTGTGTGTGTGTTATAAAGATTATATAGTGAACTTAAAAAATCTTCTTGTGAAAAACCACTAGTCCAATTTCAACCAAACTTGGCAGGATTGATCCTTGAGTAAAGGCCTTCCAAAGTTGTTCAAAGAATTTCATTCCATGCAGAATTCTGGTTGCCATGGCAACCAAAAGGAATTATAAGAATAAATTTAAAATTTAAAAAAGACCCAAAAAGCCTAAGGCTTAGATATTTTTCAAAAGGCATTGTCTGGTAGACCTCTACCAAGATTGTTCAAATTATAGCCCCGGGGTCCAAATCGGCCCTGCCCCGGGGGTCATTGATTTTCACTATATGTACATATAGTAAAAACTTAAAATACCTTCTTGTCTGAAGGTACAAGGCTTAGAGGTTTGATATTTGGTATGTGTTATTATTAGGGCTGGGAACGAATAAGTAATTTGATGTTCGAATATTCGTTTTCCATATTCGAATATATTCGAATATTCGTTTTTACAACATTTGTTCCAATATTTCTCTTTGACGTATACGTATCCGAAATTGATTGCGTCGAATACTATACTACTTTAATATGCTTTCAATGATTGACGATTAAAAATACCTTCATTACTACGTCAGTTTTTTTAAATTCTATATATTGTTATTCGACATATATGTTTACAATTTTAAATAAATTCATAATTTGATTGCCTTTCGTTCAGTTAATCCTATTTATCTTATTAACGGGAGGTAACTCGCGTGATTGATTGATAGTAATATGAATCATCGTAACCTCTTAGCCCCAATAACAAATAATCATATTGAAACTTAACTTGTATTATTTTTTATATTAATTTATAATTTTAGATAAGATTTAAAATATTCTTAAAATAAATATAGCTATAACGCAGTAAATATCACACGGAGTGTAATATCTACGGAATAAATATATTGTGACGAAATATAGACACTTCCCATGCTATCATAACCGCCGATTAATGGTTGCCTATTTATTCTTCTCCACAAAATTTAAGACATTGATTAATAGGAAAGATTATAGCACAGAGAACAAGAAATAAGATAATTAAAATCGGGAAAAAATCTAAACTGTTAAACAGGTAAATTGCAAAGTGTGAAACGGGGCCCTTTTGATCAACTAGACCCCACAGTTTTCACAGTTAATTGGCGATAATCGTTGACACGTGTCATGCAAACGTGTGAACACCTGGACAAATACAGGTCAATGGTTTTATTTACAATATTAATTGAATTTTAAAGTAATGTCAAATTATATTTTTCGAATATTCGTATTCGTTTTTCAATGTTCGAATATTCGGTAGTGTTTCGAATATTCGAATATTCGAATATAATTCCCGGCCCTAGTTATTATCTATAGGTACTCTACCAAAGTTGTTCAAAGTTTGCCTCTAGTGTCAAAATTAGCCCCACCCCAGGGGTCATAGGTTTTTCATATATGTATATAGTAAAAACTTCAAAAAATCATCTTCTCTAAATTCACAAAGGCCAGAGGTTAGATACTTTGCATGAAACATTGTGTAGTGAACCTTTAGCAAGATTGTACAAATTATAGCCCTGGGATCAAAATTGGCCCTGCCCTGGGGGGTCATTGATTTTCAATATGTATATATAGTAAAAAATCAAAAAAATCGTATTGTCTGAAGGTACACGGCTTAGAGGTTTGATATTTGGTATGTGTTATTATCTAAAGGTACTCTACCAAAGTTGTTCAAATTTTGCCTCTAGTGTCAAAATTAGCCCTGCCCCGGGGGTCATAGGTTTTCCTCATATGTATATAGTAAAAACTTAAAAAATCATCTTCTCTAAATTGACAAAGGCTAGAGGTTAGATATTTTGCATGAAACATTATGTAGTGAACCTCTAGCAAGATTGAACAAATTATAGCCCTGGGGTCAAAATTGGCCCCACCCCCGGGGGTCATTGATAATCACTATGTACATATAGTAAAAAATTAAAAAATCTTATTGTCTGAAGGTACAAGGCTTAGAGCTTTGATATTTGGTATATGATATCATCTATAGGTACTCTACCAAAGTTGTTCAAATTTTGCCGCTAGTGTCAAAACTAGCCCTGCCCCGGGGTCATAGGTTTTCCTTACATGTATATAGTAAAAACTTTAAAAAAATCATCTTCTCTAATTGACAAAGGCTAGAGGTGAGACATTTTGCAGTAAACATTGTGTAGTGAACCTTTAGCAAGATTATACAAATTAAAGCCATGGGGTCAAAATTGGCCCAGTCCCTGGGGATCATTGATTTTCAGTCACTATGTCATAAAGTAAAAAATTAAAAATCTTATTGTCTTAAGGTACTAATCTTATAATAACAGATAGGCAAGTGATCTTAGCATTATGGCAATCTGTATAGAAACAAAAAAAATGTGTTCCTACATTACTATTTAGTGTTGTATTTATGCGGTGGCATGGCATTTTTTACAAATGCAATCTTGTTTATAATTATGTGATAAATAGAATATTTTATTATATTATATTCATGTAGATTCAATACTAAATTTATTGAACTCAATGAATAAATCAATATGATTTTATTCAACTATTTCAATAAATTTAGTATTAAACCTACACTCATTCAGTATCCTCTATAATTTACCATTTCAGGAAATATTGAAGTTTGGCATGGTAATGCTGATATGATTTTAAATAAATGTACCGTCACTGTGAACAAAGAATATGATGAAGCTAGAAGATCAACCAGACATCAAGCAGAACATTACGACAGTGATTCCGATGCCAGTGTTAGTTCAAGTTCTAGCTTTTCATTTGTTGAGGTTAAATGTCATGAAAAGGCAGGTGACAAACAGTTATGTAGGCAAGAAGAAGCAGAGGCTCAAGCTATAGCACAGACAATTACAAATGCATTCTGTGAGGAAAGTAATAGAGATGAGTTAATTCCATCTTTTTTAGCTACAAATGAAAAGGTTAAGATCTACATGTACTGTTGTAGCAAAGATGTACTCCTTGAAAGTAATTACATACCTATTTGTCCAAATGGGTCATTGAGCATAAAAACTCTGGTATTGGTGTGGCTGGCATTAAATTTTGACTTCTATCAAGTATCAGATGTCTTTGGTGAGAAATTCAGAGACAGACTTGAATATGAATTGCCACTGTCAAATTTTCATAAAATTGTAGGTGAAGATGCCTTGAAACTCTATCAGCATGAAGCAAGTAGACATTTAATAAAAAAACAAGGTGACCAAATGGAGGAAGTAGAGATACCATTTCATCCTAGTTTTTACAAACTTTCAATTATTGACAAAGATATGTTTGATATCATTCAGCTGATGGATAAAATAAGTTTAATAGGGAAGAAATAATTTTGAACAAAACAATCTGGACAAGAAAGCTTGTTAATACTTTTATTGCATATGTAAACCTGTTGTCAGTGCTTTTATAGTAGAAGGTTGAATACTACTAAAACTTTTACCTGGGATTGTGAGAGATGTTGGGCTCTCCATTATTTGTATGAAAGTCAAATTGACACAAGAGTCTGCAATATTTTCAATTATTGTTCAATTGTCGTCCAGGGTTTGAACATTTTCTGGAAGTTTTGTTTCATATATTTATGTATGTTATTATTATGCCTTTCAGAGATAATTTAGAAAATGTCAGTGTGATAGCAAATAATATTACAGTTTGAATTGACACAATGTACACATATTTTTTGTTAATGTACCATAAAACCCAAACAAGATTGGACTGTGATGTAGCACTTTGATTTCCATCCTAGAATTCTGAAATTGAAACTATTTTAATGGCAGCATTATTGATATGACACTAGATAAATGTATTTATTTTCACATAAAGATACTTTATTTCTCATTAAAGCAGCACGCCTCCAGATTCATGTTAATTTTCATGAAAATTTTGGAAATATATTTAAAAGTAAAATAATGTGAGATGAACAAATTAAGTAATTTACATATTTCAATTGGCACTTACAATCCACGAAAGTTACCAAAAAGTGGTCAACATATGCAAAAACAGCCCAAGTTTATGCGTTAGTAATGCAGTAGAAATATGGCAATAAAATACTGCAAAATCGGTGTTAACCGTATATAACATGTTAAATATAACTTGTACCTTGAATGTTTTTACCTTTCTTAAAAGTTTAGTGCATTTTTCTCAATATTGATTTTCTTGAAATATTTTGGCTCATCTGGAGGCGTGCAGTTTTAAGGAGTGATATTTTTTCTTATGTTGTGCTAGACATTAGTAAAAACATTTATTTATTATTTTAAGAGTCTTTACATAAAAACAAACAAATATTCTCTATAATTATATGAAATGACAAGTTATGTGAGATTTTATATTATTGTTGAAAGTGTTATAAATCACATAAACTAATTTCATGAATGAATTCACATTTTAAATACAGTTGACTCTCAATAAGTCATTATGGCGTACGCAAAATTCCATGTTAGTCGAAGAATTTATAAATTCCCGTCAAATTTCCTTCTTTATCTTTGTATTTGTACTCCGCTTAAGGTCAAATTTTGACTTATTAAAACTTTTTTTTAGTGGAAAGGAGTTTTTGGTCCTGTCGATTAAAGCCCAACATATTTTCATTTCATTTAGTTATTGTACTTCTATAGTAATGAATTATTGTAAACATGTGCTTAATATTATTACTGATGAATACTGACCAACTTGATTTGCATTTATATCATTGCTACAACTGTTTGGGTTTATGTTTCACTACTAATAATTAGATGTATTGTGTTTCACTATTAATATAGATGTATTGTGTTTTACTATTAATATAGATTTAATTTTAAATAATATCTTTCTGTTCATTTATAATTTGTAGTTATAAGTGATTAACCATCATTTCAAGCATTGCTGTTATCAACAATAACAAACCTACTACTTTGGACATAATAAATCAATTAGGCACATGTATATACATGTACGAATGTAAACGTAATGGCAGCATTACTGGAATTTGTTTGTTTTGAAGTAAAATGCCAAGTCCCTTGAAATTCGAGTTACCTTTGGATCAAATTACTTGCATTTTCAAATGAAAGTTTAACCGAGCATGTTTAAATAAATTTTGAAAACATACTGATGACTTGTATAAAGTTTTTATTTTATGGATATTTCTAAATACAGTCGACTCCGCTTATAACGAACTCAATGGGACATTAAAATATCGTTCGTTATATCCGAAGTTCGCTAAAAGCGAAAAAACAACAACTTTCCTTGATTTGTGTGGGCGGGCAAGTTTGCCAGGAAAAAGCCATATCTGTCACCGGTCACCGATGATATCGCTATATTACGGCAGCGGTTATTTGATGCGGGACATTTTATTTAACAATATATTATGTACATGTATTTGATTAATTGTAGACAAAAGTTTCAAATTTTATATGCATAATTTATACATTTAATCCAAGCAAAATTTTGAACTACATGAACGCATCTACATATATATATATGTTTATAAAGCACGGATTAATATTATAATTAAGATACGTGATAAAAGTTACATGTAAAGAAATCAGTTTTTATGCCCCCACAATGTGGGAGCATATAGCGTTGCACTTGTCCGTCCGTCCGTCAGTCCGTCCGTCCGTCCATCAGTCAGTCCGTCCGTCCATACGTCCCGAAATCTTGTGAACGCAACTCCTCTTAAACCGGATGGCAGATTTTGCTTAAACTTACAGGGATGAACAACCTTAATGTGTAGATGGTAGTAAAGGAAGGAATTTTTGCTGCGACCAAATTTAACAGAATTATGGCCCTTTGTTGATTTTTTCACTATATTATAACTATGTAGAAATTTTGTGAACACAACTCCTCTTAAACCGCATGGCAGATTTTGCTTAAACTTACAGGGATGAACAACCTTAATGTGTAGATGGTAGTAAAGGAAGGAATTTTTGCTGCGACCAAATTTAACAGAATTATGGCCCTTTGTTGATTTTTTCACTATATACTATGTAGAAATTTTGTGAACGCAACTCCTCTTAAACCCAAGGCAGATTTTGCTTAAACTTACAGGGATGAACAACCTTAAGGTGAAGATGGTAGTTAAGGAAGGAATTTTTGCTGCGACCAAATTTTACAGAATTATGGCCCTTTGTTGATTTTTTCACTATATACTATATAGAAATTTTGTGAATGCAACTCCTCTTAAACTGGATGGCAGATTTTGCTTAAACTTCCAAGGATGAACAACCTTTATGTGTAGATGGCAGTAAAGGAAGGAATTTTCGCTGCAACCAAATTTAACAGAATTATGGCCCTTTGTTGTTTTTTTCATTATATACTATGTAGAAATTTTGTGAACGCAACTCCTCTTAAACCGGATGGCAGATTTTGCTTTAACTTCCAGGGATTAACAACCTTAATGTGTAGATGGTAGTAAAGGTAGGAATTTTTGCTGCGACCAAATTTAACAGAATTATGGCCCTTTGTTGATTTTTAGTTTTCAACTTGTGGCACATGTAGTCCAAAAAATATTTGACCTAGAGTCATAAGATTGACAGAACAGTGGCGTGTGGGGGCATCCGTGTCCTATGGACACATTTCTAGTATTTTATTGTTTTCTCTTCATAACGAAATGTCTCAAGCTCTGAGCAACACTTGTACAATTTTTCATCCGGCTCGCGATCTCCCAAAAATGTTCGGACAGTATCTATGGCACTAAAAATCCACAGACACTGGCTGAATTTCTTGTACGTCGCTGTCATCGCTGGATGATCTCATTCTAATTTGATTCACAATATCAGTTTCAGACAGATTTAATCTTGTTTCAAGTGACATCTAGAAAAGTAAATAATTAAATTATACGAGGGATGATCAAAAATTAACCGGACTTTGTAAATGATTCTTTACCTTTTAAATGAATTTACATAAAAATACACAGAAAATAAATCGGAATCTATCCCCTGAATGATACAAAAAATACCAACAAGAAATATAAACAAAGAAAAAAGTTATGCTGTTATCGGCATGTATATGTAAAGCAATGCGGCGCACGGTATAACTTTGAAATTGACGTTAACGACGTCACAAGCGTATTTGTCTTAATGGAGCAGCATTTTACTCATTCACGGAGTAGGCAAATACGTGGAACAGTCATGTTGTTGATGCGGCGGATCCACTGCCTATATATATTTCTGTACAAGTGGGTATCATATTGTATTGTAAAATAATGAATGATGATAAAGAACTCCTGTAATGACGCAAATTTCCGTTCTTTCCTTCTGTTAACTTGATTGTTGGAAAAAACGCACATGCAATAAACCATATTATGTACTACAAATAATGTTGCTGAATGATAATGTATCATACATAAGAAAAAATAAAAGAGTAAAACAACTATGAACAAAATTGTCATTATTTTAAAATAAATAAAACGCCTAGCCGATTTTGAACAGTGACTGTCTAATTGTTGACACAATTTCTCCATAAAACTACTGCGTAAAATAAGAAAATAATTGATACAATTGTAAACCAAGAATACAATATATGTAATTAATGCATTAACTATTATCATTTTAAAATGCTTAGAGTTGACTGCACCGTACCGTAGCTACTGTCGAACATCGTTGACAATGTCCGCAGTCAATAGGCTGTCATTTCTCAACGTCTTGGCGATTGACGTCACCAACGTCCTGGAAAATTTCTTTTTTCTGTCCCTCCCTTACTTGTTTTCTATTTCTCTATTATCCTTTCTTAATTCATTATGCTAATAAAAATATGCTGTGGCTTTCTGGAACTTTTCCCTTGATAGCCGTAATCTTTTTCTACGTTTTAAACAGTTTCTTGTCTTTCTTTTGACATTTTTTTCTTATTGATCGATTTTCGAGACATTCCGACGACATTGTTTTAACGGGAGTATTTCATTAGCATGTGACGTTTGAATTGTGATTGCAAATATAAATATGGTTTAAATGAAGTTAATTTTTCTGACAACGTCAAAGATATGGTTCATGACGTTTTGGCGTATTTTGAAATCTAAATGTGCCATATTGTTAAATATACGCAGCTTAAAGCGCCTGCTGTCAAGGCGAATTTACGCACTGCGCCGGGTGTGCGTTACCATGGTTTTTGAATTTGCTGTTACGGACAAGCTATTTGCATTATCAGATAAGATATAGTATCAGTTTACAGGTATTGTTTTCCGATTAAGTGTGATATATAACAATAATTGATAGGTTGAAAAATTTTCAATTGACAGTCACAGTCCGGTTTATTTTTGATCATCCCTCGTACTTGCGGTCTGCATAGCATTTAAATAAGCATTTAAACACTTATTTTGCTACTTGTTTGTAACTGTTTGGTTAACATTGCATACAGAAAATCGATTTTTTGGTAATTATCGGGCATTAGCAGCTTTTTATTGTAATATATTTTATAATTACTTAGGGTGCTAAACTTACCGTAACAAAGCAATTGATTTGCAATATTTTGTGAGAACATTTTACCGGTATTTATGTACTGATCTTTAATCGAGCGCATCCCGATATTTCAATCAAAACAGTTTGTTCGATGAATTTTGGCAATCTCCTACGCAGTGATCTCCCCTTATCAGTACAGTTACAATTCTGCCAAGGGAGGTAATCAGTGTGAGGAGTTTGGAATTTTGGTAGCACACCACAGTAATGTAAGCCACAGCTTCGAATGGCCAGGGAGGATTTCTTGGATATAGTGAATATTCTGGATTTAAATGACTGATTGTCTTTAAAATGCATTTTCAGCATAAAATTTGTTTTTGTGACATCTAATATGATCACTGGCAAATTCGAAAACATGGCCAGAAATCACATGCTGTTGATTATGAATGTCAAGGCCGCCATTTTTTGTAAACATTGCTTTTATACAGCATGCATGACGGCAGGAACTTGAAATTAACTGTGGAGTGCTACCTTTACATGTTTTCGCCGTTTGGGACTTGAAAAAATGGTTCGCTATAGCAGAAAATTCGTTATAAGCGAGTACGTATTAAGCGATTGGATTTAATATAAAATAAAGAAGGAATCGGCCGGGGATTTCAGACTTTGTTGGCTATTACCGATAATTCGTTATAAGCGAGTTCTTTATAAGTGGAGTCGACTGTATTGTTAAACTAAAGGGTACATTTGTATAAAGCTATATCGTATGAAATATTTAAAAAAAAAATTCAACAGTAAAATTGTATTGTTTCAATAATATTATGGTTGATTCCCAAAAATAGAATGTCTCTGTAAATTAACACACATAAATATTGTATATTAACAGAATAAAATGTTCCGCAACAAAATATTATACTGCTGTTTAACTTTAAAGTATTGTTTTAACCATTTATAGAATAATTTCATGTCTGCGCCATCCGCTTTTAAGGCAATACACTTCCATTTCTCTTTCATATAGGCATATTGGAAGCATTCACTTTTAAAATTCAAACAAGAACTTTTGCAGCAGATATAATTTTATAGCTTTATGCACTTTGAAAGTAATTTTGGCATAAATATTGCCTTGTACCAGACCCACCATTATAGTCTGAAAGGAAGACAAATAAAAACAATACTAGAGATTTTTGTGTCGCCTCTATGGAGTAATGACTACATAAAGGGATCACTTCTCCATTGTCTGTCTGTCTGTCCGTCTGAAACTACTGGTGCAATTTCATCCGAACTTTACAGGAATGATCAGTACCAAGTCTAGTTGTGCATCTCATCGGCTTTTTATGCTTAAATGATATTTGTCGGAGTTATATCCCTTTAATTCTTTTTTATGCTCCCCGAAAAATTTCGGGGGTTCATATAGTCGCCGCCTTGTCCGTCCGTCCGTCCGTCCCCTTTTCTTGTCCGGGACATAACTTTTAAACAACAAGAGGTATCAACATGAAACTTTGTAGGTAGATAGATCTCATTGAGTAGGTGTGCAGTGCACAAGAACTGTAACTCTGCCTTGCCTAATTTTTGAATAATTCCCCTTTGTTTATTTTTACACTTTGAACTTTGTCCGGGACATAACTCTTAAATCCGGTTCAACCGGTTCTTGTATTTAAAAGTTTGTCCGGACTACTCCTGAAGAAAAACTTTTTATGCCCCCGCCATATAATGGCAGGGGCATATAGTGTTACCCTGTTCCGTCATTCCGTCCTTCCGTCATCATCAGTTTCCGTTCATTATCTTAATAACCCTTGCACATATTGAACTCAAATTTGACATATGGATATGTCATGAGAAAATACAGGTCAAGTTTGAAATTAGTCATGGTTCGATGATTTTTGGCAGAGTTATGCCCCTTTTTTACATTGAAAAATATATGAAATTTTCAGTTTCCGTTCATTATCTCCCAAACGGTTCAAAAACATCAATTCAAAATTGACATATGGATATGTCATGAAGAAAAATACAGGTCAAGTTCGAAATTTGTCATGGTTCGATGATTTTTGGCAGAGTTATGCCCCTTTTACATTGAAAAATAATATGAAATTTTTCAGTTTCCTTTTCATTATCTCCCAAACGGTTTCAAAACATTCAAAAATTCAAAAATTGAACATATTGATATGTCATGAGAAAATACAGGTCAAGTTCGAAATTGGTCATGGTTCGATGATTTTTGGCAGAGTTTATGCCCCTTTTACTTTGAAAAATAATATGAAAATTTTCAGTTTCTGTTCATTATCTCCCCAACGGTACAACACATTCAACTCAAACTTGACATATTGATATGTCATGAGAAAATACAGGTCAAGTTTCAAATTTGGTCATGGTTCGATGATTTTTGCAGAGTTATGCCCCTTTTACTTTGAAAAATAATATGAAATTTTCAGTTTCCGTTCATTAAACTCCCCAATGTACAACACCATTCAACTCAAACTTGACATATGGATATTGTCAAAGGAATGTGCAGGCCAAGTTTGAATTTGGTCATGGTTTCAATGATTTTTGGGGCAGAGTTATGCCCCTTTCACTTTGAAAAATAATATGAAATTTACAGTTTCTGTTCATTATGTAACCCAACAGTGTTACAATTATTCAACTCAAATTTGACATAGGATATGTTAAAGGAATGGGGCAGGTCAAGTTGGAATTTGGTCATTGTTTGATGATTTTGTGAGCTTTTAGATAGGGTGAATGTCTGTCGTCTGTTTTTGTTCCATCATACGTCCACAATTGCTTGTGAACACTTATGACTCAATCATCATCAAACTTTGTCAGGATGCTTGTTAAGTCAATTTGCTCGGATGCGTTCCAAACTGGGTCATTTCGGATGGAAAAACTAGGTCACAAGAGCTAAAATAATAAAAAACCTTGTGAACACTCTAGAGGTCACATTTTTGACCCAATCATCATTAAACTTAATCAGGATGTTTTTCTAGGTGATAGCTCGAATGAGTTTGAAAAACGGTCATCTCGGATGAAAAAGTAGTCACAGGAGCTATAAATAGAAAAACCTTTGTGAACACTCTAGTGGTCACATTTTTAAACCAATCATCATCAAAAACTTGGTCAGGAATGCTTTTCTAGTCATTGCTTGGATGATTTCGAACATAGGTCATTTCTGATGAAAAACTAGGTCACAGGAGCTAAAAATAGAAAAAACTTGTGAACACTCTAGTGGTCACATTTTTGACCCAATCATCATCAAAACTTGTCAGGATGCTTGTTTAGATAATAGCTCGGATGAAGGTCGAATATGGGTCATCTCGGATGAAAAAACTAGGTCACCGGACTCTAAATAGAAAAACCTTGTTTAACACTCTAGCGGTCACATTTTTGCATCAATAATCATCAAACTTGGTCAGGATGCTTATCTAGTTTGATAGCTGAGATTAGTTCGAACATGGTCATCTCGGATGAAAAAGTAGGTTCGCCGGAGCTAAAAATAGAAAAAACCTTGTGAACACTCTAGCGGTCACATTTTTGCATCAATCATCATCAAACTTGGTCAAGATGCTTGTCTAGGTGATAGCTTCAGATGAGTTCGAACATGGGTCATCTCGTGATGAAAAAGTAGGTCACCGGAGCTAAAAATAGATAAACCTTGTTAACAACTCTAGCGGTCACATTTAGCATCAGTCATCATCAAACTTGGTCAAGATGTTTGTCTAGGTGATGGCTCGGATGAGTTCGAAACATGGGTCATCTCGGATGAAAAAGTAGGTCACCGGAGCTAAAAATAGAAAAACCTTGTTAAGACTATAGTGGTCACATTTCTGCATCAATCATCATCAAACTTGATCAAAATGCTTGTCTGGGTATTGCTCGGATGAGATGGAAAACAGGGGTCATCTTGGATGAAAAAACTAGGCTCACAGGAGCTAAAAATAGAAAATCTTGTCAACACTCTAGTGGTCACAATTTTGACTCAATTGTCATCAAACTTGGTCAGGAAACTTGTCTAGGTCATTGCTGGGGAATAATTGAACATGGGACATTTCGGATGAAAAACTAGGTCACAGGAGCTAAAAATAGAAAATCTTGTTAACACTCTAGTGGCTACTGTTGTGATCCAAATATTCTGTTAATTGGGCTGAAAGTTTGCTTTGATGATTTCTAAGTCAAGATCAAACATGGGTCATCTTGGATGAAAAACTAGGTCACACTGCCCAAATATGGAAAAACCTTGTTAACATTCTAGTGGTGACATTTTGGACTCAGTTATCATCAAACTTGGTCAGGATGCTTGTCTAGGTAATTGCTTGGATGAGTTCGAAATCGCATGTGAAACTAGGTAACCGGAGCTAAAATAAGAAAAATCTTGTTAACACTCTAGTTGCTACTGTTTTGATCCAAGTATCCTGGAAATTGGTCTGAAAGTTTGTTTTAATGATTTCTAGATCAAGTTTGAATATGTGTCACCTGGGTAAAAAACTAGGTCGCACTGCTCAAATATGGATAATCCTTGTTAACACTGTAGTGGTCACATTTTTGACTCACCTGTCATGAGACTTGGTCAGAATGCTTTTCTAGGCAATTGTTTGGATGAGTTTGATAATTCAGGTGAGTGATCTAGGGCCATCATGGCCCTCTTGTTTAAAGACAATATGTGTTTTATTTACACATGGATTAAGTTTATTAACAGTGTTTTGTTTTGTACCGTCATCGGTTACAGGTTATGTCTCGGATATATGAAGAGAAAGAGATAATGGCTCATGCTACCAGTCCATGGATCACTAAGCTGCACTACGCTCTCAAGGATGCTCATACATTGTCCCTTGTGATGGACTTCCATGCTGACGGTGACTTGCTAATGGGATATGTTCATAGGTATATTGTTTGATATAAACTTCCTTTATAAATGAGGAATCTGATAAAGGGAAATAGCAGGTTTATGACTCAGATACTGGTGAACTTATAAGCATTTAGTATTACCTCACAGATTTCGTTAGAAGTTTATAGAAATAAACAAAAGCAATGAAATAAAAACATGTACTGTGAAACTGGTTATACTGTCAAGTTTTACTAACAATCAAGTTATTTTCTATACCTTTAAAAATCTGTGGCTTTTCAATTTGGAAAGTAAAGTCAACATTTCCAAATTTAATGAAATTTAAATATTTTAAACATTTTCAGAGAATAATAGTATTAAAACAACACATTTGTAAAATTTATTAAAATCAATTTGTAAATATAATAATATTATAGTCATGGGAAGTTTTCAATAATAAAGTAACAGAATCAGTTTTCAGATAAATTTTTAGGCACTTGTAATGCTTTAATGTTTTTGGTGTTTTCAGGGATACTCGAGGGCATGTGAAACTTGTAGTCTTGGGTTCAGCTGCAAAACTCTCCAGTAACAGTTATGTAAGTTGATATGTTTGTTTATATCATCTGCTACTTAAGAGTTTGTCTAATTTCTAATTGCAGTTTAGCCATTTGCATTTACCTGTTTTACCAATGTCCTGTTTTAACTTAATGTACATGTATTTATAGAATAACTGACCAAACACTGTAATATGAAATGTGAAATAATGTTTACAATGTACATACAACAGTTAGAATATTTTGTATCAGGTATCGTCAAAGATGCTGATGGGAACACCAGACAATGTTTCTCCAGAGCTGCTCAATGCCATGAATAATGATGTAGTGAACAGTTATGGTGTTGAGGTGGACTGGCGGTCACTAGGTGTCTGTATGTACAAGATGTTGTGTGGGAAAACACCATTCACTGATGACGCAGGTTCCATGGTGGCCACATATTCTAATATCATGAACTATGAGGTAGACATTTATTTCCTTACAAATTTCATTCTTTTTTATTTATCAGAATGATTGAAACTGGGCTTTATTAGAAAATGTTTCAATGTTTTGCACTCATATGATGATTTTTTTTCTAGTATATATATATATGCATGACACTATATATCCTGCAAAAGAAAATTTAATAAGAAAAAATTTTGTTATAAGTTGCAGTTTTAGAATAACTATCCTGTTGGAAAATGTATAAGTCAGTTTGTTCAAACATGCACTTGATAAAACAACTTAAAGTGATACTGTTATATTCTTTCATTATTTTTTAGGCATATTTGAAGTATCCTCAATCACTAGATATATCATCAGCAGCTAAAAGTTTGATGAACAAGCTTTTTATTGACACAGATCATAGACTGGATTACCAACAAATCAGGAAACAAGCTTTCTCTGATAAAACAGACTGGGATAATATTAGAAATGGTATTAAATTGAAAACTTCTTAAGATTTGATTTAGTAAGAAGAAGAATATAAACTTGCGTAATTAGATATTAATATTGAACAGTTTTCTAGTAAGCATATAGAACCAATATTATGATACATTTAACAGGTACTTATTCAAATGAATTCTGAAATATTAAAAGAAAAATTGATACATATTTAAATTTTAGATTTAACAAGGTTTAGATTTGCAGAAGTTTTATTTGACTTAATAGAACAAATTTCAGATAGGTATAACATAATTTCATACCCGTAACCATTGAAAAAAGGGCTGGAAAAGATAAATACAAATATTGCTGTGAATAGATGTTTATAAGTATGACATGCTTATCTTCCTACATGTAAGGCTTTGATTAAACATTATATAATCAGTTCAATAAAAACAAACACTGTTCTAAGCTTTTGACATTTTTGTTCAGAAAAAATTGATGTTTATAAAAAAAAAAGGAATTCTACATACATTATAAAACATTAAGAAATGCATAAAGTACATGTATGAATTAATTATTTTACAGAGACTGCACCATTTGTGCTTCACCTAGAGAGTCTGGATGATACATCAAACTTTGAGGAGTTTGAGAAGATAAAACATCCTCCAGTGTATGATGACCACAAATATGATAGAGACTTCTCGGGCAAAGATTTACCCGTTGTAGGCTTCACCTATACTGAGAATAAACCAGCTTCTAAGTAAGCTTATCTATATATAATTGATAGATAAATAAAGTCTTTGCCCTTGTGAAATTGTTAATTATTCTCAGGCCTAACATGTTGTTAATGTTTGAATGATGAGCTGTTAAACCAATAAAAAATCCTTGTCATTTGTAATTTTTTTTAGATTTCTTTGTAAAAATAAATGCTCTTGATGGCTATACAGAAATCATTGCTTTCATATATACATATTAGATATATTTATTAAAATAAATTTGTATTCTTAAAGAACATAGGAAATACATCATCGAGATTATTATTATGATATTTACTATAACAGAAAGGACTTCTTTTTTCAGAAGAAAATCAAAGAATAGCATTGATATTGATGCATCAGTTAGTATGTCTAAGCGACGCTCTGGTTCGGGAGCAGATCTTACCTTGACTGTAAAAATATCTGAGATGAAGAAACTTGGAAAGAAATTTGATAGGCTCAGATCAACAGTAGAGCAGCAGAAACTGTCACTAGAAGATAAAGAAGAAATGATAGAAAAACTTGAGCTTGAGAGTCAGAACTACATAGCTAAAACTAATGTGAGTAAAAATATGAAAATAGTTTATCAGTGTATCAGCAAACTAATTTAAGTGAGATCTAGAAAATTGTATGTCGAAATTAATGTTAGCAATATGTAGAAAACTACAATTTATATAACCCAAGTAATATGCAAGATGACCAAAAGTGATGCGAGTGGTATCAAGATAAATAACAAAACAAAAACTTTTGTTTTCATGGCTGACAAGGGATCTCCACTTTCGAGAGAATTGTATTTCATAGGCCTTGAGTTCTTTTTATGTCCTCCACAGAAAATATGTTCAAAATAGTCAAATTTCTCTATGATGAAAATCTTAAAGAAAAAAAAATTAAATGGTAGATTCTCAATTATTAGGTTGGGAAAACATTATTGGAATTTGTGTCAAATGGCATAAAATGTATTGTAGTACCAATACACAACAAATAAATGTTCATTATCAATGGCTCAGGCTTTTAAATTTGAAATCACCATTAAGCTAATCTGTTACAACTTTTTCTTTCTTTTTGTGCCCCATGTTAGTGGCGGGCATTTAGATTTACCCTTGTCCGGCCGTCCATCTGTCCGTCCGTCCTTCCGTCCGTCCGTTCACTTTTGTGTCGCACGTAACTAAAAAAGTATTTGACCTAGAGTCATGAAACTTTACAGGAATGTTGATCAGCATGTGTAGTTGTGCACTGGGTATTTTCGTCTGGATATTTTTAGTATTTTCAGAGTGTTCGAACATGGTCATCTCAGATGAAAAACTAGGCGACCGGAGCTAAAAATAGAAACACTCTAGCGGTCACATTTTCAATCATCATCAATCATCATCAAACTTGGTCAGGATGCTTATCTAGTTGATAGCTCGAATGAGTTCGAACATGGGTCATCTCGGATGAAAAACTAGGTCACAAGAGCTAAAAATAGAAAAAAACACCTTGTTAACACTCTAGCGGTCAAATTTTGCCTCAATCATCATCAAACTTGGTCAGGATGTTTGTCTAGTTGATAGCTTGGATGAGTTCAAACATTGGTCATCTCGGATGAAAAACTAGGTCACAGGAGCTAAAAATAGAAAAATCTTGTTAACACTCTAGTGGCTACTGTTTTGATCCAAATATCCTGTAAATTGGTCGGAAAGCTTGTTTTTATGATTTCTAAGTCAATTACGAACATGGGTCATCTTGGATGAAAAACTAGGTCACACCGCCCAAATATGGAAAAACCTTGTTAACATTCTAGTGGTCACATTTTTCGACTCAATCATCATCAAACTTGGTCAGGATCCTTTACTAGGTAATTGCTCGGATGAGTTCGAAATCGCATGTGAAACTAGGTCACCAGAGCTAAAAATAGAAAAATCTTGTTAACACTCTAGTTGCTACTGTTTTTGATCCAAGTATCCTGGAAATTGGTCTGAAAGTTTGTTTTGATGATTTCTAGGTCAAGTTTAAATATGGGTCACCTGGGTAAAAAACTAGGTCACACTGCTCAAATATGGATAATCCTTGTTAACACTGTAGTGGTCACATTTTTGACACACCTGTCATGAGACTTGGTCATAATGCTTGTCTAGGTAATTGTTTGGATGAGTTTGTTGGGTCAGGTGAGCGATCTAGGGCCATCATGGCCCTCTTGTTTACATAATTATGCCCCTTTTTCGACTTAGAAATTCTTGGTTAAGTTTTTGCATGTAAGCTGGTATCTCCATAACTACTGAAGGGAATGGATTGAAACTTCACACACTTGTTCTCTGTGATTATCTGAGAAGATTGGCACAACTCCCATAACTCTGATTTGCTTTTTAACATAATTATGCCCCTTTTTCGACTTAGAAATTTTTGGTTAAGTTTTTGCGTGTATGATGGTATCTCTCTATAACTACTGAAGGAAATGGATTGAAACTTCACACACTTATTTTCTGTGATTATCTAAGATGATTGGCACAAGTCCCATAACTCTAATTTGCTTTTTTACTTAATTATGCCCCTTTTTCAACTTAGATATTCTTGGTTAAGTTTTTGCGTGTAAGCTGGTATCTCTCTATAACTACTGAAGGGAATGGATTGAAACTTCACACTTTCGTTGTCTGTGATTATCTTAGATGATTAGCACAAGTCCCATAACTCTGATTTGCTTTTTTAGCTCACAAGAGCCGAAGGCTCGGGGTGAGCTATTAGTATCTAAGGGGGATGCTCCGGCGTCCGTCATCCATCGTCATGCGTCAACATTCGTCTTCTTCTCTGAAACTACTGGGCAGATTTACTTCAAATTTGGTCTGTAGCATCCTTGTAACAGTCACACTTGAATTTGCTCATGTCATTTCAATTGGCCCCTTTTAGGGGTCAGCAGAGCTAAAAATAGAAAAACCTTTAAACATCTTCTACTTCAGAACCAGTAGATGGATGATCACCAAACTTTGTCTGTAGCATTCTTGGGTACTCTTTTATCAAGTTTGCTTATATTTATTTGATTAGCCCCTTTTACGGGCCACTTAAGCTAAAAATAGAAAAAGCCTTCGAAACATCATTTCCTACTGAAATAATAGAAAGATGATCACCAAACTTTGTAGCATTCTTAGGTAGTCTTTTATCAAGTTTGCTCATATTATTTTGATTAGCCCTGTTTAAGCTAAAGCTTAAATACACCAGGTCATGGCATTTCTTCAAATTATTGACTGCTTCCAATGTTAGTGCTCTTGTCTCACTACAACAGAATGCCTTGCATGATAATTTGGGTCCCAGTCTAACAGAATTGACTGGTAATAATTTGACTGGTTCAGGACTTACTGGAATTAGTTTAATGGGGACCAGTCTCGGCAATTCTCTGTCTACCAGTCTGCCGGTGAACAGCCTGACTGGTAGTGCATTACATAGTTCCAGTCTGAGGGCAATGATTTAACTGGAAAATAGCCTCACTAGTCTTTCAGGAACCAGTCTAGCTGGTAACAGTTTAACGGGAACCAGTGTTACAAGAAGTGGTTTATCGTTTATGACAGGAAGTAGTTTATCAGCAGGGTCACAGTCTTTGCTGGTCCCTCAAATGCCATTCCAGCATCATCGGTGTCCCAAAATGCAATGTTACAACAAAGACAGAAGCCTCAAAGATCAAAAGTTCCACCACCATCAAAGGTATTATCATATAAACATTGATCTTCATATAAACATTGGATCTTTTTCATCCTAGTTTATATTATTCTTATGGATAGCATTGGATTAATTGAACTTTCATCCTATCTAGTTTTAATGAACATACGACCTGTATATATCATATTTTATGTCTTTTTGGTTTTAAAGAGTCAAAATTAGGAAAAAAAACCCATATAAGTTAAAAAGGGTAAAACTATATTTTGTAAATACTTTTAATGCAAATAATTAAAAATATTTACGGTTTATAGTAAAAAGTTTTTAAAAATTTTTATTTTCGTGAAAAAAATTTTAAAAAAATTTGTAATAATAAATTAAATTTTCTTGGAACAAAAAATCTTTTTTACAAAAATTTTTTTTAAATTGGCAGATGTAGAAAAAATTAAGATTTAAAGAAATTTTTTAGATATTTATAAATAGTGTGTAATACATGAGTGAGCATACATGGTTTGTATGAACGGATATTTACAATTTACTGGTTACCCCCACGATTACACGTTTGACGGATTCGTTTTCGATTTCTTTTCATAAACGTTTACGATATTGTTTACCGTTTTAATCGAAATACCAATAATTGTCTTACATAATTTCTTAATCACTGCCTGTAATTTGTGGATTTTTATTCCAATTCTAGTGGTTTATTCCAAAGTAAACAAACGGAAAATGGGTGTTTACAACCCTCTCACACAGCATTACCGGCAAAATTGCTCCGTGACATATACATTTTGGGTAAAAAATGGGGTTACAAATGCAAAAAATGTGTGCTGAAATCGTGAATTGAGCCTTGCAGCATTCTTTATTTGTACAGTGTTATTAAAAATAGAAGAAAGACCATCATTTGGCGACTCAAATACATGGTGTGTATAGTACAATAGAGGTACCACGTTTTAACGGTATCCGGTTTCGGTTTATTAGCAGTCGTGTAAACGTTCAAAAATTGTACAATGTGGGAGCCTTACCTCTGGTACTACAATCCTGAAGAATATTAAATTCTCCCCCTATGAAAAATCTAACCTGCTGCCTGTGTCTACAAGAATGTTTGGATTACATTTAACAAGTTTTTAAGCGTTTCTGGGTGTGGATGATCGATAAGTGACGATCCGATCCGAACCAAGATTCAGCACTTACAATCACAAATCGAACCACAAATCTTTTTTGTTATCAAGACACCCATAAAAACATGTACATTAGTTATTAAAACATGTTAAATTAAAAAAAAACAATACTAAACATTAAACATATAAACTAGGTTTATGTTTTTATTCTTTGGAGGAGTATTTTTGTTTTGTTTTTTGAAACCAATTACTTCCTAGCTCAGCATCATGGTAAAAAGTAATTGCATTTTATAGTCTAAGTTTCATGCTTACGCACGTTCACCGACTTTACAGCTATTACCCCTGGTCATCGGGCTACTGGTATCTATCTATCAATCTCCCTTGGGAGTCTTTTAACTCCGCTTAGTGCAGCCGACACTTTGGCGCAACGGAATAATACCACCCTCGCAGGTACCCATTTACACCTGGGTGAAGTGAAGCAATCGCAGGTAAATTTCTTGCTCAAGGAAATTAGCAGTGCCCCTGGTGGGGTTCGAACCCGGGACCTCTCGATCCCTAAGCGTGCGTCCTACCACTGGACTACTGCTCCTGGTACATGGTCTTTAACCGGAAAAAATTGTATTTAGTTAAACTTCATATGATTTATACTCAAATAGTATTTTTCTTGATTTTAAGAGTGGTGAGAAAACAGTGAAAGTATATAAAAAAATTAAATTCGGCAATCCACAATCTCTGGGCTTAAGAATATTCAAACTCGATTTTTTTCACTTTTTGATTCGTGATTATAACGAGTATCGGGGATGACTCACCCCAGCCCTAAGCCTTACTATAGTGGAAAAATAATCTCCGATATTTTATATTTTTAAAAACCAGGTTTTTCCGAAGGAAAAAACTGGTTATTAGATTGAGGTAGTCGGCGGGCGGGCGGTCGGGCGGGTGGGGACGGGCGGGCGGGCGGGGGGGCGTAAACAATTTCTTCTGTGCGCAACTCCTCCTACATTTCTCAACGGATTTTGACCAAACTTTCACAGAAGCTTTGTCATCAAGTGCCCTGGCGCATATTGTCGGGGGTTTTGCGATTAGATAATATTTGACCTAATTATGGCCCTTTGTTTTTTTTTCGCCTTATATAAAATATATAGTGAACAATTCTTCTGTGCTCAACTCCTCCTACATTTCTCAACGGATTTTTGACCAAACTTTCTCAGAAGCTTTGGTCATCAAGTGCCCTGACACAATATTGTCGGGGTTTGGCGATTAGATAATATTTGACCTGATTATGGCCCTTTGTTTTTTTTTCCTTATATAAAATATATAGTGAACAATTTCTTCTGTGCTCAACTCCTCCTACATTTCTCAACGGATTTTGACCAAACTTTCTTAGAAGCTTTGTTATCAAGTGCCTGGCACATATTGTCGGGGTTTTGTGATTGGATAATATTTGACCGCATTATGGCCCTTGTATATTTTTTCCTTATACAGAATATATAGAGAACAATTTCTTCTGTGCTCAACTCCTCCTACATTTTCAACGGATTTTGACGCCAAACTTTCTTAGAAGCTTTGTTATCAAGTGCCTGGCACATATTGTCGGGGTTTTTGTGATTGGATAATATTTGACCGAATTATGGCCCTTTGTATATTTTTTTTTTCCTTATACAGAATATATAGTGAACAATTTCTACAGTGCGCAACTTCTCCTACATTTCTCAATGGATTTTGACCAAACTTTCACAGAAGCTTTGTCATCAAGTGCCTGGCGCTCACTAAATTCCATGTTTCTTCCAAGACATCATTCAAGTATTTTTTTTTAAAATTGTGAACATACTTTTCTTGATATCGCACAAAACACCACACGCCAATATTGTTGACAAAAGAAAATGACAAGAGACGCAAAAATGCAAAAATTAAGCAAAAAATAAAGTACTGTTTACCTTTCTAAAAACATTTGGGAAAAAAAGGCGAATAGACAACATAAAATTTCTCAATCATTTTTGTTTGAGGAATATTAAAAAAGCCATAATTCCTCCTAAAAGTTCAATTAAAAACAAATGCCCCTTCATGACAAAGCTTCTGTGAAATATTTTTGCTGAAACCTGGTTGCATCGCATTGCGATGTTCCTTGTAATTTTCACTATAGTAATTTTATGTACTATGAAACACTATAGTAATTTTTATGTAAATATGAAAAAAAATTATACATTTTATTACGCCAAGGGCTTCCATTTGTGGAAGTTTGAAGTCATTTACCCCGCTTGATTTTGGCTTGCGACTTCAAAAAATACAAAGATATAATGCTTTTCCTGCTTAAACCTATATTAGTGTTTACATTCATTGTCAGACATTTTTGCAGTCAGTTTAAAAAACTTAAAATGGAAGCCCTGTGTAGGCTTAAGCAGGCACAGATTTGAGCCGAGCATCTTTAGAATTCTTTGGTTGTCATGGCAACAGGTAACAGATAAGTTTGACCAACTATTGCAATTCTATTTCATTTATGATTTTCAGATTCCAGCATCAGCTGTTGAGATGCCTGGTTAATATGATGACAACATTGGACGTTCAGTTTGGTAACCTCGAGTTCGGTTCTGACAGCCTCAGCATTCTCATTTAGAGGAAATGAATCTGTTAAATAGTGCTTTCACTAGTGCTGATTCTAACAGGTGAGCTTGGTTATCTGTGGTTACAGTAGATTATACCGGCTGAAATATTTTATTGGT